TCAGGCGGGTTTGGCTCCAGCCCCTGTCAGCGAGAACTTTCCGCCGTTCTTCTGCCTCTCGCTGCAGCCCCGCCCACCCACACCAGTCTTTGGTCAGTATGATTTCGTGCGCTGGCCTTTTAGTAGCTAATAAGAGAATAGAACAATGATGACCATATACTGTAATGAAAGTGATGTGGCCAGAAAGAGTTATGTGAATGTGGTGTCTCTCTCTCTCTCTCTCTCTCTCTCTCTCTCTCTCTCTCTCTCTCTCTCAAACTGATCTGAGAACCGGAATACTGTAAACTAAGTAAGGGATGGGGAGCGGATATAGCTGGACAGAGGCACGATTCACACCTCAGGTGGGATGGCACTGGAAGGCAGGAGACTTCACCAGGGTGTTCAGAATGGCGAGTGATTTTAAACTCTGTGTTGTTTATTTCTGGAATTTTCCACTTCATATTTTTGACTGTGGCTGAGGCGGTCACTGAAACCTTGGGAAGGGAAGCCACGGCTTAGAGGACTGCTGTATGTTGGTGTCGGGCGTGCGATATAATGATTTGATATTTGCGTATATTGCTAAGTGAGCACCACGGTAAGTCTAGGGAGCATCCCTCACCACACATACAGTGTTTCTTTCTTGCAACGAGAACTTTTAAAATCTATTCTCTTAACCACTTTCAAATATGCAATCCCGTGCCATTAACTGTAACTACAGTGCTGCACATTCCCCCTCCCCCCGGGACTTCCTCATTTTACACCTGGAAATCCGCACCCCTGACCCCTCCACCCATTTCACTCACCCTCCTTCTCCCACCGCTGGCTATAAGGTTCTCTGTATCTATGAGGTTTTTTTACTTCAATTTTTTCTTAGATTGTACATGTAAATGTGATCAAATGGTATTTACTTTGTCTGACTTACTCACTTAGAATCATGCCCTTCAGGCCCATCCATATGATTGCTAACAGCACGGGTTCATTCCTTTTTATGGCTAAACTAGAGGCCCAATGCACAAAGATTCGTGCAAGAATGGGCCTTCCTTCCCTTGGCTGCTGGCACAGCATTTGCTCTGGACCGAAGCTGCCTTTCCACCTTCCCATGCTGCCCAGAGGCCCAGAGCAGCTGGGGCAGTGCGGGATGCCCCCGGCCGCTCAGTGACTGTGTATGCAAATTAATCTGCCATCTTTGTTGGGTTAACTTGCATACTCACTCCTGATTGGCTGCTGGGGAGTTGCGAAGGTACGGTCAATTTGCATCTTTCTCTTTTATTAGTGTAGATACTATTCCATTGCACATATGCATGTCTGTATATTTTATTTAACCATTCATCTGTTGATAGGGTGTTTCCATATCTCAACTATTGCTTAGTTTTTTTTATGACTATGAAGATGAATATTCTTGGTTCTTAAATTTTGGCAAGTACCCAAAACTCTACTGAAGAAAAGAAGAGTCTCCGTAATTCACACTGGAAACCTAAAGATGGTTTTCATGCATTCCTCCTCCTCCTATCTTCCCTCCTAGCTTACATCCATCTTTTTTTTTTTTTTTTTTTTTTTTTTTTTTTTTTACAATATGGAATCAGACTATACCTATGGTTCTGTACCCTAATTTTTGTTCACAAGAATCTGTATTTTCCAAGACATCATAAATGCTTTGCTGTGACAGTTGGGAAATTCGGATTAAATGTCTCTATTCACGGGCGCAAAGCCTTCAGGTGGCATGGGAGGGTCAGCTGGCCATGGGCCCATTTATAAATAACTGTGCTATTGCCCATGGCAAATATTGAATTTGATGCAATACTTAAGACATTTTCTAATTTGAAAATATTTTCAACCCAAACAGTTGCCATTTGCAATTTGTCATGTTGTGAGGATTCTGTGAAGTGAAGTGTTTTGGGATTGGGTGTTTTACTTGGAGCGGTGCATAGGCACAGAAATTCTCATCTCCCCAGAAAGAGAGATTGGGCTGGAGAGCCGTGCCGACAGGCCTATTCTCGGGAAGATTTATTTTCTCCCTTTTCAGTCTGGGGCTGTTCTGATCTGTGAAAACATACGGGTCCTCCAGCGTCCACAGATCAAACGGATGGCTCGTTTCCTGGGACCGAAGCAGTGGCTTAAGTTCAGGCTCAGGGATGGTAACTAGACCCGTTCCTCTCTGTTTTGAGCAGAGACTAGCGCTGAGCCATCTGGGAAAACCATTATTACCGGATCTGGGCCTCTTCGGTGAAGAAAACATTTGCACAATATTTTCTTTGCAAAAGTATAACTGTGCCTCGGGACTCCAGTCCGGGCGGGGCCTCTGCTTCCATCCTGGTTTTTGCTTCATGAGGCGGAGCTTCCCTCAGAGGAATGATGCCCCCCGCAGTCCCCTTTTTAAGGGAAGGATTTTAGCTTCATTCCCCTTTTTGGGATAGTTTAGAAAAATGTTTAAGGAATAGGTTTTGTCACTAAACATCTAGTTCCATGGTCAGCAAACTGTGGCTCGAGAGCCACATGCGGCTCTTTGGCCCGTTGAGTGTGGCTCTTCCACAAAATACCATGGCCTGGGTGAGTTTATGTTGAAGAAGTGGCGTTAGAAGAAGTTTACATTAAAAAAATTTGGCTCTCAAATGAAATTTTTAGCCGTCGTACTGTTGATATGTGGCTCCGTTGACTAATGAGTTTGCTGACCACTGGCCTAGTTGATACTTGGTGTTAATATTTGAAAAACAAAACAAACAAACAAACAAAAAAAACCAACCCACATACAAACTCATAAAAACAAACCCAAGGTTTCATGTATTTGCATTCTCTTTTAGGCTGTCCCAAGATCTTCGAAGACCCAAGAAAAGCCGCATCGACCAAAAGCAAGACAAATGCCTCAGAGAGAAAGAAGATGGTGGAGCCCAGGGCAATTGAAGGTAAAATAAAGACCCGGGCAAGCCTGCCCGTCCTCGTTACGGCTGAAGGGAGATGCGACTGTGTACACATTTTGTGTCTTTCATATTTGATGTTGGTGGTCCCAACCTACAAAGGCCTCTTCTTGGGCTGGTCGGTGTCGTTGGAAGGATTATGTTGAGCCCATTGAGTCTCCCTCCCAAATCCGACGCCCCTCGCCCAGCCCCTTGCCCCCTCCCCGCCACACTGCAGAGTTTGTAAATCCCCGAGTTGTAAGGATTGAACAGCCCCTCTTTCCCCAGCGCCTTCTGCTCTCTTCCACTCCTCCCAGCGGAAGCGGGAGGCTGAGGGTGGTGTGTACAGCCCTAGGCTTTATGAAACTGTGTGGTTCCCGCCATATTACTAAGTTGGGTTTGAAGTTCTCTTTTAGTAATTTTACCTGCATTCAATGGAAACCTCATTTCAGGAGGTACACAAAGAAGGAGCCTCTGCATTTATTAACTATGCAAAATTATATCATAATAATAATAATGGTGGAAGATTTCAGAATTTTATTTTTAAAAATATATTTTTATTGACTTCAGAGAGGAAAAGAGAAGGAGAGAGAGAAACATTCACGATGAGAAAGAATCACTGATTGGTTGCCTCCTGCACACCCCACACTAGGGATGGAGCCCATAACCTGGGCATGTGCCCTGACCGGGAATCGAACCGTGACCTCCTGGTTCATAGGTTGATGCTCAACCCCTGAGCCATGCCAGTCGGGCTGATTTTAGTGTTTTATACATGAAACACGCCCCTTAGCCCATTCCCAGAGGCAGAAGGGAGGCCTCTGGTTTTTGGGGGCCTGGGCTCAGCCGGGACAAGCCTTCCCCAGTGTTCTTGGGATCAAAGGCGGTTGTAAATCCCCCGTGAGCTGAGGGCGGGGCTGGCAGCCTGAGTGTGAGCACCAGCAAGTGCGTGGGGAGGACTTGTGCGGAGTGAGCTGTCCCGGAGAGGGACCGGAACGTATGGAAAGAACATCTGTTCTGAGCGGGGGCGTGCAGCCCGGAGGAAGGCTGGGGATGGGTCTCTGGGGCGACCCTCCCAGAGGAGGGCGATTTCCTGGGGGCCCGCTGCTCTCCTGAAGAGGCGATCTTGGGGGACTCCGAGGATTCCTGAGCCCAGACGCCCAGCCCCCCCTCTGAGCCTCTCCCATTGGTGCGCCGCGGGCATGGGTTATCGCAACGGCGACCCAATGCCGTTTCAAGACGGCGCTCCATTCTTGCTGCATTTCTAAAGCAGATATTGTCCCCGGAAAGGGCTGGGGGAGATGGGAGGGAATTGCACGCTTTCCAAGACCAGGGACGCTGTGGGCAGTGAGATGCGAAGCCCAGGGCTCCAAGTCCGCCACCATCTGGGCAGGACTCCCTGGAGCCCGTGCGGGCACAGGCCCGGAGCTTAGGAAGGTGTGTTGACAGCCCCGAGGTGGGTGGGAACTTCCAAAGTCCAACGTGCTCACTGTGAGAGACTCTGTCTCATATTTAATCTAACTTCTTTTTTTAATTTTTAAAATATGTTTTATTGATTTTTCACAGAGAGGAAACAAAGATAGAGAGCTAGAAACATTGATGAGAGAGAAACATCGACCAGCTGCTTCCTGCACACCCCCTACCAGGGATGTGCCCACAACCAATGTACATGCCCTTGACCGGAATCGAACCTGGGACCTTTCAGTTTGCAGGTTGACGCTCTATCCACTGAGCCGAACTGGTTTCGGCTAACTTCTTTCTTTAAAGCATCATCAGAGATGCTGCCAATGGACGATGACGTGTAGGAACTGCGTGTGACGTGGGTTTGGGTGGGAGGGGCTTGTCACACTGGGATTCACTGGGGATGGAGGTGAGTGATGTTCCCCAGAGAAGGCAGTGGGGTCCCCAGTCGCTTCGCACACCGCGCTGACCTCCAGGACGCCTTTGGGCACGTGCTTCCCGCAGAGCTGGGTGGTTATTGTTGTTACTATTACTTTTCACCTCGCTTCGTGGTGTTAGCCCTCAGGGAAACGAAAACCCGGGATCGTGGTTGCTCACTGAGGTTCTGTCCCTCTGCCTCCCAGCTGTCTCCGGGGCTGCGCGGACGGTGAAGGAGCGGGCCTCCTGAGGGACATGGTTCAGGCTGTCCCGGACCCAGCAGCTCACATCCAGGTAGGTGCCCCTGCCCCCGAGGCCGCGGCGCCCTCCCGGCCGGTCTTCACGGCGCCCGCCCCCACGCAGTGCGTGCCGCCGTCCCCCCACTAAGACGGTGGGGTTCACATAGACGCGGTTGAAAGAAATCCCAGGGAAGAATATATCTCATTACACAGGTAACTGATAGGACATGCAGATTTCATTGTTCTTAGTGATGGTTCTCCCGGGCCACAGCCTGGCCACGCGTGTCCACACTGTCCAGGGGGCTGTCACACCGCCGTGGCCGGTGGCAGCCCTGCACCAGCCCATGCGGCCCGCTGAGCTGAGGGCATCCAGCCCGGCCTCTGCGGGCGGTCGCTGACCTCTGGGTCAGTGCAGGGAACGCCTCCATCTCCGAGGCGCTGCCTGGGTCACCAGGAGGAGACCAGCGGGCCACACGCGGGTCTCCGTGGGCAGACGTTGTTCTGTGTGGGCACAGGGACCTTTGGTAGCTCTCCCCGCCACTCCTGCCCCGGCACTCACCCACCGACGGCGATTCCCCGCGGCCCTGGAGGTGAGAGAGGACAGAAGTGAGGCATGTGCGGCGGCAGGTCCCTGGGAGGAAGCCGCCCACTCCTCTCAGTCCCACTCGCACATGCGTGCACACACACACATGCACACACACACATGCACACACACGCACACACACACACACTCGCACATGCACACATGCACTCACATGCACGCACGTACATGCACACACACATGCACACACGCACACACATGCACACACTCGCACACGCACACGCGCACATGCACACATGCACACACACGCACACACACGCACATGCACATAAGCACATGCCCTCGCAGGGAGCGGCTCGGCAAGGAAATGAGGTGATGGGTTGAGTAACTGCTGTGGGAAGTGGGGGCCGGAGCCCGTTCCCCAGGAGGCTGTCTCCCTGGGGCTGCTCAGCTCAGCGGGGGGGCCCCCCCGGGCCACACCCTCCCTGGCGGGGCCCTGTCTTCACGCTCCCCATCTGCTCCCTCCCCCCGAGGGGCCTGGTCACGCTCACTCATTTATGTTCTTTGCCTAACACACGGATTGGAAATGGAAAGTGGTTTGTCATGGAAAGGAAGGCTTCTGGTATTGAAAAATGTATCTTTTTTTTTTTTTTTGGACTAACATGTACAATGCCTTCCAAAACATCGCATACACACATGGTAAAGACATATATGTGGGAGTGTGATGGACCGGGACCCTGTGTAACGTACACCCTTACCCGTGTGATTTCTTGGGAGATGGAACTGGAAGTAATAAGAGTGGCAATTCATCCTTTGGGTTCTGTGAAACTTCAGAAAGAGGGTGCGGTCCGGATTGCTGAGGATTCTGTTTTGAGCAGGGGTAGAGAGGGAGGCTGCACTCTGATTTCTGTGGGACATTTTATGGGGGCATGGCAGTTCTGCCTGCCAAGGTGCAAGTGGGAAATCCCTTGTGGGTGTTAAGTTTTCTTCCGAAATATCTGGAACTTACCCGGTAAGTGGCCGTGTTACACACAGACTTGGGCGAGGGGGTGCAGGTAGAAAAGCTTTTTTTAAAAGAGTCTGTTGACCATGCAGCTGCCAGATGCAAATTCGAGCTTCTGGGAAGGAATACCTTCCACCGTTCAGTGGAGCGGGTCAATAACCGAAATCCGCTGTGATTGGCTTTTTGCTCTTAATCACCCAGAAGGAACAGGCAGGGTCGGTGAGAAATCAGTGCAGGTGTTTAGAAGGGAATCCATGACGTGCAGACAGCCTTCTTGGTGAGAAGGGCGGTGTGTGCAGACCCAGGCGGTGTGGACAAATCTGAGCGTCATGGCCTCCGACCAGGTGTTCACGGGGACCGCCCGGCTCTGACCGCTCTGCTCCATCGCACCATCACCGTATGGGTTAGCATAAATAAGTGGAGGATGATTTTGAAAAAGGATCACCTTGAGAGTTTTTAAAAAATAAAATTCAACTCGGGTTGCTTATGTGTGTTTTGAAGGCGAGCCGGCAGGTGAGAGCTGCGTGGCTAACCGCGGACGAAGGCTCCGGTCAGAGAGAAGTAAAGGTGTTGGTTTTCTTTGTGAATCTCTCCGGCTCTGTCTGGTTGGATTTTAAATAATTATTCCTGGTTTTGTTTTAGGTCTATGGAATTTGTGTCTTTGACAACCAGGTTAGGAAAACAGACCGCCTTTCTATATTTCCTTAAAAATCTCTGATTTGGGGCCCTAGCCAGTTTGACTCAGTGGATAGAGCATCAGCCTGTGGACCAGAGGGTCCCGGGTTCGATTCCGGTCATGGGCACCTCCCCAGCCCAGGGCCCTGGTCAGGGCTCATGCAGGAGGCAATCGATGTGTTTCTCTCATAACCATGTTTCTCTCTATTTTTCCCTCTCTCTCCTGCTCTCTCTAAAAATCAGTGGGGGAAAAAATAGACTCGGGTGAGGATTAACAAAGAAATAAAAATACTGAGCTCCCTGACATGGAGTCTCTCAGGAGCCCGTTCTGTGCTGAGAAGTTGCTGGCCTGTACTGGCGGGAGGAAATCTTACAAATAGCGCTTGAATGGCCCACTTGCCCGTTAGTGTAAATAGTGGGCGGCTCTGCCTTCGGCTCATTTCTCCTGAAAAGGACTTCAGTTCCCCACACGGTGACCTAACCGTGCAGGTGTGCGGCGGGAGCTGTGGGGGTGGGGGCAGCCACAAAGGTGGTGTGTCCTTCGCTCGCCTGTCCGCCCGCTATTGGGGGAGGAAGGGTGGGGAGAAACCTTTTGCATGAGGGCAATGTATTCTGCATAATTTACCGCCGCACTTTCCGCCAGAACAAACACGAAACGCTAGAGCAATTGCATAATAGCGGGCGATATTACTAATGCGCGCCGTTAGCCTCCTCTTAGGTAATCGCCGTCGAGGGGTAGAAGGAAGAAGAGGGAAAGTTCTGGAAAGCACTTGACAGCAACAGGGTCGGGACTTACCAAGAAGTCCATGGCCCGGCTGTGCTCTTTCCCCCGCTGATCGCTCTGGAAGTGACAGCAAGTGTTTCTGGCTGTAAAAGGTGTTAGACGAAAACGCTGCTTGTGTTTCATAGAAGGAAGGGTTTGAAAGGGCTTTCAGGAGCAGCCCACGTGAAGTGCAAGGTCACCAGGAGGCCTGAGAGTCCCGGGGGTGAGCGGGAGCACAAAGCACAGGACGCAGATGCCAACCCGGGGAGGGCTCCAGCCTGATTTGGGTGAGGGGCTTGGCCATGCTCCTGGCCCTTCCTGGCCTAGGCCTGCTCCCCGCTCCCCTCTCTCTGCTCCCCGCTCCCTGCCCCCCGCTCCCCGCGCCTACCTGGCTGACAGAAGGCCGTTGAGCAGCAGGCGTTTCGACCGCGTTTGCAGATCTGATTTACAGTCCCTTTGCTCCTCAGGAAGTTAGAAAGTTTATCCTTTGAGGATGTGCTCAGCGGGGACCAGAGACCGGAGCTTCCCCCCAGTCTGTGCGCTGTGAGGATGACGTAGCCTTGGATCCGCGGCCCGATTCTTCCTTCATCCTCGGCTTTGATCGGCGTCCAGCGGGTACACACCCCGCATGCCTGCGATCGGGCTGGATGCCGGGCGCTGCCCCGTGTCTCTGCAGGGCAGTGGCCTTCAGCAGAGGAGAGCAAACTGCAAACAGCCCTACAGCGTGCGTGTGTGGCTTTTATGATCAGAATAAGAGGATTGTCTGAAAATATCAAAGCGTTTGATATGACACAACAGGAGGGGCTTCTGGCGCCGGGCGGCCTGCCACAGGTGTGCCCGGGGCTAGGCTGGAGCTGGGCTCCCCTCTCTGTCCCTGCCGGCTCCCTGTGGCCTCGGGCTGTGCTCCGGGCGCCTGCACCCAGGCTCAGTGCCTGCCCCCCCCCCCCCCCCCCTGGTGTGCAGGGAGGCGCCAGCTGTCCCGGAGTCGAGCTGTCCCTTCCCGGGAGAGAGGCTGTAGTTGTGTGCAGTTGGCTTACACACCCACCGGCCTTCGGCCCAGAGGTGGCTCTCAAACAGCCTGCGTCTCGGCTCAGAAATGCAGATTCCTGGGCTCCCCCAACTCTTCTTCGGAAAGTTTGGGGTGGACTCAGGGACCTGCATTTTCACAAGTGCCAGAGGGGTCTCTGTGGACCTTGCTTAGATGACGAATAGCAATAATTTTTTTTTAAGTGAGTACATGAAACAGAGTTTTTTATTTATTTATATTTTATTGATTTTTTTACAGAGAGGAAGGGAGAGAGATAGAGAGCTAGAAATGTCAATGAGAGAAAAACATTGACCAGCTGCCTCTTGCACACCTCCTTCCGGGGATGTGCCTGCAACCAACTACATGCCCTTGACTGGAATCGAACCTGGGACCTTTCAGTCTGCAGACCGATGCTCTACTGCTGAGCCAAACTGGTTTCGGCCGAATAGCAATAATTAAAAAAAAATGATTTGTTATTGATTTTTTCTTTTTAAAGAGGAGAAGGGAGAGGGAGAGAGGGAGAGGGAGAGAAACATCGATGTGAGAGTGAAACATTGGTTGGCTGCCTTTTGCCTGTCCCATTCTGGGACCAATCCAGTAACCCCTAACCTGGGCATGCGCCCACTGGAAATCAAGACAGCAGCCAACAGAGCCGCACCTAACTCTTTTTAAAAACCTGCCTTTGTTGTTGGAAGTATTATAGCTGTTCCTATTTCCCCTCTCATTTATGTATATGTATGTGTATGTGAATAGGTATAAGTACATGTACATGTACATGGCTTATTTTTTATAGCAGTTTGACTCCCATATGCCTGTTCCCATGCGCACACCACAGCCCCCACCATGGGCACCATCACTCCGGGTGGCCGATCTGCTCACAGCCGGTGAACCCATGATGACACGTCAGCATCGCCCGGGCTCCGTGTTCCCAGAGGGCTCAGCTCTGTGCTGTGTGCTCTGTGGGTGCAGATTAATGTGTAACGGTGTGCATGTCTCACACAGAGCCATTGCCCTGCCCCAACATCCTCCGAGGTCCAACCACGCCT